CGACGGCCTGCAAACCCTAAACCCTAAACCCTAGCCCGTGGCTCTCAAAGTCGCTGCGGGTTACGACGCCCTTCTTTGACGGCCTGCAAACCCTAAACCCTAAACCCTAGCCGTGGATCTGAAACGCGCTACGGCTGGTGATGCCCTTCTTCGACGGCCTGCAAACCCTAAACCCTAAACCCTAAACCCTAAACCCTAAACCCTAGCACTTGCCGGTAGAGCAGGAAGCCTGAGTCCCCCAAGTTGGCCGCGTTGATGGTTCTCTTTTCCCAGTCAAGCAGCACCAAGCAGCAAGTGCTGCACGCAAACTCTAAACCCTAAACCCTAAACCCTAAACCCTTAAATGCGCTGCAGTTCCGCATCAAGAAGGGCACGGAACTAAAAGCCCTGCAAGTACCCAGGCTAGGCCCTTGCGGCTAGCCTAAACCCTAAACCCTTAACCCTTAACCCTAAACCCTAAACCCTCACCAGGAGCCAATGGCGTGGGTAGCTAAGTAGGCCTTCTTCATAGCAACAAAAGGGTTAAGAGCAGCAGAGCCTCCTGCTGCTACGGCTGCTGCTATCCTGCACCACAGCCGCACCGCGCTGCTGTTGGTGCTGCTGCTGCTGCTGCTGCTGCTTGGGACATAAAAGTATGAAAATCAAAAGCGACAAAAGGACAATAAAGAGATAAAAAGGTTTTAAAAAATAAAAAGATTAAAAAGATTAAAAAGAATAAAAAGAATTGAAGCATAAAAGAATTAAAAATTAAGAATTAAAATTAAAAAGATGAAAACCCTCACCTCTTAACCAACTCCTTCGAATACAGCCCGGGATCGATCCCAGAAGACTCCCAGCCCCCCACGCCGTCAGCAACCACTAAACAGCTGCAGCAGCAGCAGCAGCAGCAGCGCAGCAGCAGCAGCAGCAGCGCAGCAGCAGGTGAGGAAGAGGCTAAAAGGTGGTCAGGAAGAGAGGCACGCAAAGCTCCGACGAAGCGCCTAACAAGGACTCTCTAGGGTTTAGGGTTTAGGGTTTAGGGTTTGCTTGCTTCGTGCTGCAGAAGGCTGCGTCTTCTCCGCCGCGGCTTCTCTTTGAAGGGTGCGGCACCATCACCTGGCTGAACACAAACCCTAAACCCTAGACGCTAAACCCTTAACCCTAAACCCTAAACCCTAAACCCTAAACCCCAATGTTCAGAAGGCTGCGAGTCCCTTTCCTCGCCGCTCCCTCTTTGCCTTCCCGCTAAACTGAACCCGAGCTGCTGCTGCTGCTGCTGTTTCTGCTGCTGCTGCTGCTGTTGCTGCTGCTGCTGCTGCTGCTGCTTACTAAGCATCAAAGTACAAAGGAGCCAGAGGGCCTTCTCCCTTTGCCTTCATAACAAATTCTTCTGCCCAGCTGGGACCATCAGAGAAGCTGCGAAGCTGCTGCTGCTGCTGCTGCCATCGTGCTGCTGCTGCTGCTGCTGCAGTGGGCCTGCTCCACGTGCTGGAGAGGAAACTCGCGGGGAGGACTCGTCGTGAGGCAGGAGCACTTGCTGCTGCTGCTGCTGCTGCTGCTGCTGCTGCTGCTGGCGCTCTGCTCTCCACTGCCCGCCACAGCAGCGATGGAGCTGCTGCCGTCAGAGCAGCAGCAGCAACAGCAGCAAAGGATGGAACCATTGAGCTAAGCTGTTGCCCTTTTTATTCACCTAAATTTGATGCTGCAGCAGCAGCTGCTGTGGCGGCTGCTGCAGCAACTGCAGCAGCTGCTGCTGCAGCAACTGCAGCGGCCGCGCTCCCGCAGTGTGCCACTAAAATCGAAATCCCCCGCCGCTGCGGCTGCTGCTGCTGAGACTGCTGCTGAGTTGCAGCAGCAGCAGCATCTGCTGCTGCTGCTGCTGCGTTTCTGCCTCGCTGCTGCACCTCCTGCAACCACAGCTCTCGGCTGTTTGGCTTCTGCTGCTGTTGCTACTGCTGTTGCTGCTGCTGTTTCTGTTGCTGCTGTTGCTGCTGCTGCTGGCCTTCTTTGATGCTGCTGAGGCCGCTGCTGCTGCTGCTGCCTTGAAGAGCTCCTATTTCGCTGCAGCAGCAAGCGAAGGCATCAGCGCTGGCTGCAGCAACAGCTGCTGCTGCTCCCAGTGAGCTGCATGTACTGCCTCAGACAGCTGCTGCTGTTGCTGCTGCTGCTCCTGCTGTTGCTGCTGCAGCAGCAGTAAGAAACGCGCCGCCGCCTACACACAGGGGCAGCAGTAAAAAATCGTCCAATAGAAAAAATAAATTGAGAAAATTGAATAACTGAAACTGCTGTTCGGGCTGCTGCTGCTGCTGCTGCTGGAGCTGCTGCTGCTGGGGGGCTGCCCCTCTATGGTAGCCGCTGCTGCTGGCAGGAGTTGCTCCTGCTGCTGCTGCATGTACCGCAGCACCAGCAGATATTATTAGAAGCATAATTTGGCAAAACGCATGGCTCCCGCAGCAGCAAACCTTCTGCAGCAGCAGCGGCAGCAGCAGCAGCGGCGGCAGGAGCAGCAGCAGCAGCAGCAGCAGCGTTCTCTCCCACTGTTCCTGGCTCTGTCTTGCGGCGGCCGCAGCAGCAGTAGCAGCAGCAGTTGCTGTTGTTGCTGTTCGGGTCCCGTGGGTTGCTCCTCTCTTTTCCAGCATTTGCTGCAGCAGCAGCAGCAGCAGCAGCAGCAGCAGCAGGACGCTGCCGCAGCCGCCTTGGCCGCCGGCGCGGGCGCAGCAGCAGGTGTTGAGAATGGCAGCTGCAGAGGCTGGCGCGAGTCTGCAGCTGCAGCAGGAAATTGCTGCTGTGTTTGCTTCTGCAGGCAGCAGCAGCAACGAGGTGCAGCAGCAAGTTGCTGCTGCTCTCAGCCGCATCAGCGAAATCCCCAAGGTGTACATACACTACGCAGCAATCCTGGGGAGCTGTCAGTACACCCCAGATGTGCGGCAGGTTGCGGGCCTTAGCCTGAAGTCTGCGCTGCAGCGGCAGCAGCAGCTGCAGCAGCAGGAGCTGCAGCAGCTGCTGCCGCCGCTGCTGCTGGCGCTGCAGGAGCAGGCGCGGCCGCTGCGGGCTGCAGCGGGGTCTGCCGTGACGGCGCTGGTTTGCTGCCAGCAGCTGCAGCAGCAGGAGCTGCAGCAGCTGCTGCAGCAGCTGCTGCTGCTGCTGGACTCCCCCAACGGGGACGTGGCGGAAGCAGCTCTCAGCACCCTGTCGAAGATAACAGAGGATTTGCTGCAGGGGGTGCGTCTGCAGCAGCTGGAGCAGCAGCAGCTGCAGCAGCAGCAGCAGCAGCAGCTGCTGGTGTTCATCCCGTGGGCGCAGCAGCAGCTGGTGCCGCGGCTGCTGCGGGAGGCGACCCCGGCCGCCGCTGCTGCAGCGCCCGCGCAGCAGCAGCAGCAGCAGCAGCAGCAGCAGCAGCAGGCCGTGTACACTTTAAACCTCATTTCTGCTGCTCAGGGCTTCTGTGAAGGAGCTCCTTTTGCTTCCTTCTTCGGAGACTATTGGGGGGCCCTGGGGTCTCTTGCTGCAGCAGCAAATCCCAAGACGCAGCGCGCAGTTATATATGGGATTCTGCAGGTGCTGGAGAAGCAGCCAGCAGCAGCAGCAGCAGCAGCAGGGCCTCTCGCGGACTTCTTCATTCGCTGCCTCCGCGCTGAAGACTACCAGCTCAAGCAGGACGCCCTCGAGTTTTGGCCTGTAACCTGCTGCTGCTGCTGCTGCTGCTGCTGCTGCTGGGGTGTGGCTGGCGAGCCACGTGGATGGGGGGGCTGCTGCTGCTGCGGGAGAGGGCTGCTGCTGCTGCTGCTGTGCTGTGCTGCTGCTGTTGCTGCTCGCTCCGCTTTACGGAGAACGCCCCGTTGGCTGCTGTTGCTGCTGCTGCTGCTGCAGGCCATACTGCGGGAAGCTTCAAACTCTGGCCCGGAGCAGCAGCAGCACGTGCTGCAGCAGCTGCGGCTGAGGCTGCCGCAGCTAATTCCTTTGCTGGTGGCCAACACGATATATACAGAGACTGACTTCCTGAGTGAGGCCTGCTGCTGTTGATTTTGCTGCTGCTGTTGCTGCTGCTGCTTTTGCTGCTGCTGCTTCTGCTGCTGCTCCGGTTGCTGCTTTTTCTCTTGCTGTTAACTCTTGCTGCTGCTGCTACTTTTGTTGCTGCTGCTGCTGCGAGCTGTGTTGCCGTTGTTCTCTCCTGCTGCTGTTGCTGCTTCTATGCTGTTGCTGCTAGCGTTGCTGCTGCTGCTGCTGCTGCCCTTGGTTGGTGTGGGCGTTCCAGGCTGAGAGGTCACCCGGGCCTCGCGCAGGCAGCAGCAGAAAGCGAATTGCGGAAACAATTATTTATTTATTTGTTATTAATTAATTAATTAATATTTATTTATTTGCTTATTTGTTTATTTATTTGTTTAGATATGGATGCATCTCAACTAGAAGAAGATAATGCTGCAACAGCAGACGACGCGCAAGACGTGGCGCCGCGATTTCACCGCAGCAGGGACCCAGCAGCAGCAGCAGCAGCAGCAGGGGACTCTGCTGCAGCAGCAGAAGAGGACGAAGAAGATGCAGCAGCAGCAAGAGGCACTTGGGGAGATAGCTGGAGTGTTAGAAAGGGGAGTGCTTTGGCTCTGGACCATTTTGCTGCTGTTTTTAAAGACGAAGTGCTACCGTTTGTGCTGCCGCTGATAGAGGAGGGCCTGCAGCAGCAGCAGCAGCAGCAGCAGCAGCAACAGTGGCTGAAGCAGGAAGCAGCAGTTCTTTCGCTGGGAGCTGTTGCTCATGGCTGCCAAGAGGCCCTCAGCCCCCACTTGCAAACAGTTTTGCTTTATTTGCTGCAGCTCTCGAAGCACCCCAAGGTACTTTTTCTTTTTTATTTTGTTTTATTTTTATTTATTTTAATTCTTTTTTTGTTTTTTTATTTCTCCATTTCCCTCCTTTCTGTTCCTTTTTGCTTCCTCTTGCTTTCCTCCTTATTTTGGTGTCTTCATTTTCTCTGGCTGTAGCGGTCGGCTTGGTGCTGCTCTTGCTGCTGCTGCTGCTGCTGCAGCAGCAGCAGCATCTCTGCAGCGGTGTCCTAAGCGTTGTGGCCTCAACTGTTGCTGTTGCTGCTGCTGTTGTTTGCTGCAGCCGTTGCTGCGGAGCATATCCTGCTGGTGTATTTCCCGCTACGCGTCCTGGCTGTGTCAGCAGGAGCACGAGCAGCAGCAGCAGCAGCAGCAGCAACAGCAGCAGCAGGGAGTGGGGAGCGGGGGCTCTCCGTCGGCTGCTCAGCCGCAGCCGCCGTCGGGAGCAGCAGCGCAGCCGCAGCAGCAGCAGCAGGAGAGCCTGTTCGGGCAGGTGCTGCAGCAGCTGCTGCAGCGGCTGCTGGACCGCAACAAAAGAGTCCAGGAAGCAGCATGTTCAGCTTTTGCTGCTATAGAAGATGAGGCCCGGGAGCTGCTGGTGCCTTATTTGCAGGCAGTTCTTGCTGCGCTGCAGCGGGCTTTGCATCTTTATCAGGTCAATTAAACATTTCTTATTTAATTTCCTTTTTTATTTCATATTCTCTTTTGTTTTACTCCTTTTTTCAATGTTTTCCCTGGAATTTGCTGCTGCTGCTGCCGCTGCTGCTGCTGCTGCTGCTGCGGTTCCTTCCGCGTCGTTTCAACTCCGTTATTTCTGCTTTCTTCGCGACTTGTTCGTTTTATTCTTTTATTTTTGATTTATTTCATTTATTTTTGATTTATTTTTCATTCATTTCCTTTTTTATCTCCTTTTAATTCTTTTTATTCTTTCATTTCATCACTTTTTCCTCTTTTCAACTTCTTTCGTTCTTTGCGCTGCTGCACCTGCGGGCGGTTTCGGTGTCGCTACAGTGCACCATTCACCACTTTCATTTCTTGTTTTAGTTATTTATTATTTGAAAACGTTTATTTTAAATTATGTACAACAAATTATACACAATAAATCATTTATTATTTATAACTCCTCCTTTATTTGCTGTTTGCTGCTTGTTGCTTTTTGTTTGGCGTCTGCACTTGCCTGCGTTGTGAACTTGCTTCTGCTGCAGCAGGAAAACATATTTTTGGCTTTTTGAAATAAATAAATGAACTTATTTTTTATTTTTTGGATTTTTGAATCAAATAAATGATTTCTTTTTGATTTTAATTTACTTCAAAAGAAGCTCCGTTCAATTTGCTGCTGCATTTGCTGCGCAGACGAAAAACATGCTGATTCTTTGCGACGCTTTGGGCACTTTGGCCGAAGGTGTGGGGCCCCACATTTGCTGCTCTCTCGGCAGCAGTTTGCTGCTGGATTTGCTGCAGCTCAGCCAGCAGACGCAGCCGGGGCAGCCGCTGTGTCTGGCCCTTAGTGAAGCTGTTGCATGCATTGCAGCAGCAATGCAGGGAGGTGCGCCGCCACCTGCTGCTGCTGCTGCTGCTGCTGTCGTTACTGCTGCTGCTGCCCCTGCTGCTGCTGCTGGTGCTGCTGCTGCTGCGGCTGTTCTGTCCAGTGCTGCGGCTGGTGGGCCTGGGGCCGCTGCTCGTGGCCCCCACCAGCAGCAGCAGCAGCAGCAGCAGGTTTTGCTGCTTGTGTCTGCAGCGTTTGCTCCCTACGCGCCTGTAGTTTTGGATTTGTGTCAGCAGCGAATGAGTCAAGTGCTGCAGCAAATCGAAGCCCAAAACCAGGGAGACACTGTCAGCCTTTTTCTTCTTTAATTTTCCTTTTATTTTCTTTTTATTATCTTTTTATTTTCATTTTGTTGTCTTTTTATGACTTTTTATTATCTTTTATTTTCTTTTTATTATCTCTTTATTATCATTTTATTATCTTTTTATTATCCTCTTATTTTCATTATCTTTTCATTGTCCTTTTATTATCCGTTGATTATTTTTTGTCATTTTTTTATCTTTTTATTATCTTTTTATTATTTTTTAATTTTCTTCTAATTACCTTTTTATTTTTGTTCCCTTTTCGTTATCCTTTTACTATCTTTTTATTATCTTTTTATTGGCTTTTCCTTCAATCAATTGAATTAAATCCAATTAAATTAAATTAATTAATTAATTATTTATTTATTTATTTATTTGCTTATTTATTTATTTGCTGCAGTCGGTGTGGCCTGACCGCGACACTCTGGAGTGTTCGCTAGACATGTTGAGTTCTGTGGCGGACGCGCTGGGGCAGCAGCTGCTGCCGCTGCTGCAGCAGCGGCAGCAGCTGCTGCTGCTGCTGCTGCAGTGCTGCCAAGACAAAAGTCCCTCCGTGCTGCAGTCCGCCCTCGCCCTCGTCGGCGACCTGTCCAGACACTGCGCTGTGCTGCTTACTCCTGACGTCATCTTCCCCATTGTAACCTGCTGCTGCTGCTGCTGCTGCTGTTGGTGCTGCTGCTGCTGCTGTTGGTGCTGCTGCTGTTGGCGCTGGTGCTGCTGTTGGTGCTGCTACTATTGGTGCTGCTGCTGCTGTTAGTGTTGCTGCTGTTGGTGCTGCCGCTGCTGCTGTCCTATGGGCTGCTGTTTGTGTTGCTGGTTTTGCTGTTGCTGCTGTTGTGTGCGCCACTGCTGCTGCTGTTTGCGCTGCTGCCGCTGTGTGTGCTGCTGCGTGTTCGTGCTGCTGCTGCTGCGGAGCGTGGCGCGCTGTGCTACTGCGACGCGGTGCTGCTGCAGCTGCAGCAGCAGCTGCTGCACGGAGCCATTTCGGTGGCGAACAATGCGGGCTGGGCTTTGGGAGAATTGTCTCTTCGGGTGTCTCCTGAACTTTTGGATCCTTTTGCTGCTTCTCTTGCTGCTCAACTTATTTTCATTCTCCAGAAGCAAGACATGCACCGCGCTTTGCTGCAAAACGTCGCCATCACACTCGTCAGCCTCCTGCTGCTGCTGCTGCTGCTGCTGTTGCTGCTGCTGCTGTTGTTGTTGGTGCTGCTGGTGCTGCTTGCCCAGCTGCTGCCGCTGCTGCTCCTGTTACTGGAGCTGCTACTGCTCCTATTGCAGCTGCTACTGCTGCTGTTGCATGTGTTCTGCTGTTGCGCGTGTGCCACGGCTGCTGTTGCAGCAGCAGCAGCAGCAGCTGCTGCTGCTGCTGCACGTTGCGAGTGGCGCCCCCATTTACGCAACTGCTTCAGCCCCAGAAAGTAGATAATCTGTCAGACGTTTAACCAAGCTAAACCGACTTCAGCCAACCCAAAGCCCATTCGCTGCCGCTGCTGCTGCTGCTGCTGCTGCTGCTGCTGCTGCTGCTGCTTTCAGGGCCGGCTAGCCCGCGTGTGCCCCAACCGGCTGGCCCCCTTTCTGCCGCAGTTTTTGGGCCGCTGGTGCGCTGTGGCCAGAACTGCCCGAAACGACACTGACAAGGCAGGAGCCTTCCAAGGTGCTGCTGCTGCTGCTGCTGCTGCTGCTGTGGTTGCTGCTGCTGCTGCTGCTGCTGTGGTTGCTGCTGCTGCTGCTGCTGCGGAGGGGGGTGCGGCGAGGGGTGCTGCGGCTGATGGGGGAGGAGGATTTGGGATGGTGGGGGTGTTACTACTGCTGCTGCAGCAGCTGCTGCTGCAGCTGCTGCTGCTGCAGCAGCAGCTGTTGTTGCTGCTGCTGATTGCTGTTCTGGGGCTTGGGCGGTGGAATGGCTGCTGCTGGCCTGCTGTTTTGCTGCTGCTCGTGCACTTTGGGGAAATCTCCCGTTTGCTGCTGCTGCTGTCGGTGTGCTGCTTCTGCTGCTGTCATCTTGCTGCTGCTGCGGGTTTGCTGCTGCTGCTTCAGCCGTCGGAGTGCTGCCGCGTTCGCTTTTGCGCCCGGCTGTCCGCTCAGGGTGCTGAGCGTTTAGGGTTTAGGGTTTAGGGTTTAGGGTTTGTTTGCAGGAATATGCGGCTTGATTGAAGCAAACCCTGCGGGTGCTGCTGATGGTTTGCTGGAGCTCATTTTTGCTGTTTTGTCTTTCAACAATCCTCCGCCAGAGCTCGAGCAGCAATTCGCCAGAGTCATGCATGGTCTGCTGCTGCTGCTGCTGCTGCTGCTGCTTCTGCTCGCGTTGTTGTTATTGCGCAAGTGGCGCTGCTGGAGCTGCTGCTGTGATTTGGGCTCCAGCTGCTCCCGCAATTTGCGCTGCTGCTGCTGCTGCTAGAGTGGCGCGTCTGCTGCTGCTGATTGTGTCGCTGCAGCAGCAGCAGCAGCTGCTGCTGCTGCTGCGTTGTTTGTCCTGCGGAGCCTGACTAGTGGGGTTTGTTCAATTGCTGCTTTTATTTATTTCTTTTTTCTTTTTGCTGCAGCTCTTGGCAACAGCAATTTGGAGAAGCTGCGGTGTATGTGCACTCCTGCTGCTGCTGGGGCTGAGCCGCTGCTGCCGCTGCAGCTGCAGCAGCAGCTGGGCCAGCGCTTTGGTTTGAGTCTAAACGCCTAATTTGCTGCTGCTGCTGCTGCCGCAGCAAAAGGGCTACTGCTGCAGCAAAGCTGCTGCTGATACAGCAAAAGGGCTGCTGATGCAGCAAGAGGGCTGCTGCTGCAGCAAAAGGGCTGCTGAGGCAGCAAAAGGCTGCTGCAGCTAAACGGCTGCGGATGCATCAAAAGAGCTGCTGCTGCAGCAAAAAGGCTGCTGATGCATCGAAAAGGCTGCTGAGGCAGCAAAAGGGCTGCTGCTGCAGCGAGTCGGCAGCAGCACGCACGGCAGCAAATGCTGCTGCTGCAGACGCGCTGGCCTCCAGCAGCAGCAGCGGCTCCCGCTGCTGCAGCTGCTGCTGCTGCAGCAGCTCTGGGGTTTATCTGCAGATTTCCTGCTGCTCCATTTTTGCTCACGTGTCTTTTATGTGTCTTTATATTATTTTATTTTGCTGCTGTTAATTAATTCTTGTTGTTTATTTATTTATATGTGTTTATATGCATTTAGGTGAGGTGTACATACACTTGAATCTGCAGCCTTTTGTTTCCAAACACGCGAGCGCCTAAGACACACAGAACAGCAGCAGCAGCAGCAGCAGGTGCTGCTGCTGCTGCGGCTGTCTCTGTGGGCTCCTGCGTCTGTCTGTGCGTGCCTGTGTCTCTGTACGCGTATGTATTGTTGATTATTTATTATTATTTATTATTTATTATTCTTGTTAGTTAGTATTTATTTATTATGATTTATTTATTATCACTCCTAATATTTATTGTTTATTCATTCGGACACTAGCGTGTTGTTTGTTTAGTGCAGATGAAAGGCCCAACAGCAGCAGCAGCAGCAGCGGCAGCAGCAGCAGCAGCAGCAGCAAAACCTCCCCTAACTTTTCTCTATTTGCTTCAACTGAAAAGTGTCTCTTTTGCTTCTTTTCTTTTTTTGTCTTCTTCGGCGGCCCCAAATGAAAAGGAATTTGTGGGGCGTTGCGGTGTACAGACACTCCAGCAGCAGCCTGGCAGTTTCTCTTTTTTCTTTTTCTTCCACTTATTTCTTTCTAGAGTTTTTCATTTCATTTTAATTATATTTTCGCAGAAGCAGCACAAAAGACGCAATTTTCGCATTTTATTTCTTTTATTTTCCATCTATTAGATCTGATTTAGTCTAAAAATAAATAAGTAATTATTTTAAATCAGTTTTCGAGTTCTCTACATGTTTGGCGAGGCTCAGCTGTAGACACACCCCAGCGCCGCAGCAGCAGCAGATCTTTCGCGTCAGAAATGCCTGTTTGCAGCGAATTGCGAGCAGTTCCTTCCTGAATTAAGTTGAATTTACATGAGATTAAACTAAAAATAAATTAATTTAAGTTAATTTAGTTTATTTGCATTTTAAATCCAATCTTAGTCCGCGTTTTCCGCGCTCACTGTGCATACAGCATATTGAGGGCGGCATGTTTCGCCACAGTGGGAGTGCACTTGAAATTTGGCAACAAAAAGCGGAAAATAAAAGATTAGAAAAGACAAGAAGCCATTTTAATTGACAATAAAACATTAAAAGGAAAAAATAAACAAAAAATGCAACAAAAGAGCGTCAAAATGGACTAAAATTTGATCGAAATGCAAAAAACTGCAAATTCTTTGCAAATTTCAAATTCAGGTGAACGCGGCCACGCGGTGTACAGACAGCCCGTTTTCCAAGCTTTTTGCTTTTTGGTTTTGTGGGGAAGTTCGGATGCATGCAGAACTATTTTAAATCAAATTATTTATCTAAATTAAAATATAATTAAAAAATGCTTCAAATGCATTACTTTCGAGTCCTTTTTGCCGAAAAGATTTCCAAATGCATGCAGCCCGCTCACCCCAATTCCGCTGCTGCTGCAGCTGCTGCAGCTGCTGCTACAGTGGCTCTGCAGATTGTGTGTGTTGCACAAGCCCAGCAGCAGCAGCAGCTGCTGCTGCTGCTGCTGCTATTGCGCCACTGTAACATGTACGTGCTGCTGCTGCTTCTACTCTATTCGGGTTTGGGGTTTAGGGTTTGAAAGAAAGGCTGCATGCAGCTCCATGTTCTCTTCTTAGACGAACTGTGAAGCGCTCAGGGTTTAGGGTTGACTGTTAAGGGTTTAGGGTTTAGTGTTTAGGGTTTGGGGTTTAGGGTTTAGGGTTTACGGCTCGCCTGCTCGGGTTTGGGGTTTAGTGCCAAGGGTCTTGTTTTCAGTCTTTACGTGTTACGGCTCAGGTTTTCGCGCGTAGCCTTCAGTCTTTAGGGTTTAGGGTTTAGGGTTTAGGGTTTAGGGTTTAGGTTTAGGGTTTAGGGCTCTGGAATGAAAAAAAAGCCTAAATAGGCGTTTCTGGATTTTTGCGTTAATTTGTTTTCGTTTACAAATCAGATTTCATGTTTAGGGTTAAGGTTTTAGGGTTTAGGGTTTAGGGTTTAGGGTTTGGGGCTTGGGGTGGCGGTGGGAGATGCCAGTGTGGCGCGGCCGACTGCGCTTCCGTGCTAGGGTTTAGGGTTTAGGGTTTAGGGTTTAGCTCCTAGGGTTCATTATCTAGGCTTCTAGGGTTTAGTTTTTGTTTTATTTATTTTTTAATTGGCTGTTTGCTGGCAGCAGCAACAGAAAGAATTCTCAAAGTGTGGCGGGCCACTGGAGTGTCCAGTGGTGCACTGAGGTCGAGGGTTTAGGGTTTAGGGTTTAGGGTTTAGGGTTTAGTTTTGGCGAGGATATGAATTTTGCTGCTTTTTGACTGCCGATGTCAACACTCGGCACGAACTTTCGGGGTTCAGGGTTTAGGGTTTAGGGTTTAGGGTTTAGGGTCTAGGGTT